TAATTGTAATTGTAGTTCGTACTTAAGTAACTGAGCTTTCAAAATAATTCCACAAATGGTTTTGAAAAATATGTTATGATATCAGAACCATTGTCAAACGTAATAGTTTCGCGTCCTATCTCATCGACAAAGTAACCACATCTTATCTTGACAAAAATACTGACAGTTCAAATTTAAGTCTAACCAGCAGTCACAGACTAATAACAGCCCAGTAACAAAGTACTTCGAACTCCCTTTCATAGGCAAATTTCTAAACAAATTCTGAATAACATTGCATATCAAATTATAATTTTTAGCTTTTTTAAGATAAATAGCTTGTTTTCAACAATCTTAAAAAAGTTATTTTGACTTTAGATAGATCTTTTGTGAACGTTATTCAATGTATTCGAATTAAAAAAGAAAAAAACATATAAGGGTTGCATTTTCCGTGTGTGACTAAACGGTAAAATCACAATAACAACATTCACAAAAGATGTAAAGGAATTTGTTTTACGATACCTTCAATCTCTATGACTTTATCATCACACGATTTTTCCTGCGATGGCACTCCAAAGCTTAAGGAAAATAAAGTGTGCATATCGTGAATTTTAGACTCAGATTCCTTGCGTACGTATTTTGTTACCTATTTATGGAAAACTGAACTACTACTTACGAGTTTTTCCTATCAGAACTTTTTTCAGAGTCCGAACTACAAGGTCGGCTTCGGCGCGCATCTGGTTTTGAAAAGCAAGAGTCACACACGTTACAAATTAAAAGGGAATTAGTATGGTTGAGAAACACAATGTAAATCAAATTCACATATTACGATACCTTTCACAATTTCTGCATAAGAGAATTCCATCGTTGAACAGATCAGGAAGTTTTTTAACAAGTTTTCAAAAAGTAAGATGATCAATCAGAAGAACGACCTCAGACGATAAAAGCTTGTGAATGGAAAAGTTTTTATCGGAAATAAAATAACTTGTAACTGAACAGGTACTATAACAAAATGTCCAAGCTAGCTAGCTTAGCGGTGAAGGCGGGCTAACTAGAGTAATATTGTTTGTGTCGAGATAAAATGAATAGTGTTATGATAAAATGAACATTCCCTTAAAACCACATTTATTTACATTTTTCTGCAAATATTTGTTATAATATAAATGTGGTTTTAATGGMATTTTAGTAACGTAGATAACAAGAAACTGTCAACTAGCAAGTACCCAAAGGAATTTGTATCAGTATCTATATACAGCAGATGTACCATGATCCATATCCTGTTGTGAACTTATAACTGATTAAGATAGTGGTTTGAACATCGTTGAAAGAATACAGTCCCTTAAATGGTGGCTGTGCAGAGCTGGAAAATTTACGACACATTTCGCATTTATTAGACAAAGCAATGAAGTCTACAATTGAAGATGATTGTCAAAAGCATCATTCGGGGTCCCTGTGGTATAGCTCGTAAAGAATCATTTTGTTATTGGGATGTATGAAGGTCAAGGAGATCAAATCATTATTTAATACTTCATACATAGCATTCAAAATCGCTGTTTGAGGACTTTCAAACAACAGAAACAACTCACAAACTATATGAAT